TGTAGTGTCATGCTGGTTGGTGTTACATAGGTCTCTGAGGCTTTGCTGATTTTTCTTCATTTTCTTTTCCTTCCCCCAGTTTCCATAAACTGGGTTATCTCACTTGACCTGTCTTCAAGTTCATTGACTCTTTCTTCAGCTCAAATTTAATCTTGAGCCTTTGTAGTAAAATTTTTATTTCAGTTATTGTAGTTTTTAGGTACAGAAATTGTAATTAGTTCTTATAAAATTATCTCCAACTCTCTATTGATATTGTCTATTTGCTAACACATCATTCTCATTCTTTCCTTTAATTATTTAGGCATGATTTCCTTTAATTCTTTGAATATATTTAAAATAGCTAATTTAAATTCTTTGCTTTTTAGTAAGTCCAATATCTGGGCTTCCTCATAGATAATTTCTCTTGATAACATTATTTTCTTTAAGTACAGGCCAGTGTTCTCTGTGTGTCTAAATTTGAACAGACTTGTGGACTCTGTGGGAGAAGGTGAGGGTGGGATGTTTCAAGAGAACAGCATCGAAATATGTATATTATCTAGGGTGAAACAGATCACCAGCCCAGGTTGGATGCATGAGACAAGTGCCTGGGCCTGGTGCACTGGGAAGACCCAGAGGGATCGGGTGGAGAGGGAGGTGGGAGGGGGGATCGGGATGGGGAATACATGTAAATCCATGGCTAATTCATTTCAATGTATGACAAAAACCACTGCAATGTTTTAAAGTAATTAGCCTCCAACTAATTAAAAAAAATAAATTTTGTGTTGGAAAGGATACATTTAAAGTAATATAGTGTGACAACTCTGAAAGTTAGATCATATCCCAATCCCCAGGGTTTGTTGTAAGTGACTGTTGTTATTTGTTTGTGTTTTGGACTCCTGGACTAATTCTGTGTTAAAGTCTGTAGTTTTTGTTGTGCAGAGCCATTGAAGCCTCTGATAGGTTAACTTAGTGTTCAGCTTATGTTTGGGCAGTGAATTTATGAAATAATTTGAACCTGTAAGTCTCCAGGCTCTGCTGAAGGGCTTTCTGTATGTGTTGAGGCATTTCTTAAATATTCAGCCAGTAAATTTACAACTCTGTCTTACCACTCTCTTCCTGCTTATATAGGGCCTCAAATTCAGGCAGAAGAGAAAGAGAATTCTTCCATGAGGAAACACACAACCCAGAGTGTGCATATTTTTCTTTGCATGAATGTGTCTTTCTAGATTTCTAGAAAGAATTTGCATCTTTGTAAAGACCCCTTTGGATATGTCATTCTCTAATCTGTTACTCCCCATCCCCCCCCTTATTTAACTGTTTTCGTCCATCTCTTTATCACTCCAATTGTACATTGTCCTAGATCACCGTAGTCTTAAACAATTTCAGATGATTGTTTTTGATAAATGCTCCAATGGCAGCATTGTTTACAGAGAATAAACTTTGGATTAAGCCAAGCAAAGATAAACTCTAAGAATGGAGCTTTCTATACCTGTCAAATTGGACAATTAGTGATAGTTTTCTGAGACTGGGGCCTTGTGAACCTCTAACACCCTTCTGCCTTCTCCAGTGGCTGCTAAAACTGTTGATTTCATAGCTACTATAGTTATGAGGCTGTTGGTTTTGAGTCGTTATTACAGAGCTGGAAAGAAGGTGATTTGATTAGAGTAACTTTATATACCAAAAAGTTCACTCGTTTTTTAAATAAAAATTCACTCATTTTTCTTCAATAGACAGTCCTCAGATTGTTAAAAACTTGAGTTAATTTAGATAGTATCTGAGATACATATATGTGTGTGTGTGTGTGTGTGCGTGTGTACAAAAAACTTATATCCAGAATATATAAAGAAATCTTATATCTCAATAATAAAACAAGAAACATAAAACAGGCACAAGTTTGAACAGACCCTTCATGAAAAAAATATGACAAATGCTCAATAAGTACATGATAAGATACTCAGCACCATTAGTCATCAGGAAAATGCAAAGTAAAACTTGTTAAATACCACTATATACCCATTAGAATAACTAAAATTAAAATGCAGACGTAACCAGATGCTGGAAAGTATGTGGATCAACTGAAATTCTCATATGTTGTTAATAGGAATACAAAATGGTACAGTTGTTTTTGAAGACAGTTTGACCTTTTCTTGTATAGTTTAATTAATAGGCACTTACCAATTAAGCATTCATTGTGCTCCTAGAGTGCACTCCTTGGGAGAAGTGTAAGCATATGAACCAGAAAGACTTTTACATGAGCATTTATAACAGTTTTTATTCACAATTATGAAAAGCTAGAAACACTGCAAATGTCCCTGAGTAGGTGAATGAATGAACTATTGTATATTTATACAATGTGATATGACTTAGCAACAAAAAGAATGAATTACTGATTAATAAATTACCAAGACATTGTGCAGACTTAAATAAGTTAGAAATAAAAGAAAATCCTCTGTATCATTCTGTAGAAAAGTATAGTGATAAACAAGTTGTAATCTAACATGAATTAATTATTAACTAATCAATCCCATTTATGTTCTACCTCATTCCCACAAAACTTCAGTTGCCTCATAGGCACTATTCAACTACATTCCTAAATGAATTAGAAAAAGATGAGGGGAAAACATTATAGAAAACACATGAATAAATAAGTAGTTGATGAAGAGAGAACCGACAAAGAGTTTGAAAAAGAGTGGCTTTGTGTGTGGGGATGGGGAATTATCAGGGAGGATATAAGGGTGAGTTTACATGGTTTGCAGTGATACAGTGAACTTTAGAACAATAAGAAAATAAATGTCCTTTCCATGACAAGCCTTTCTAGGTTATCTGTTGATTTTTTGTAGCCAAGAACTTTCCCAACACTTTTATCTAAAATATACGAGTCTTTCCTGGCACTTCCCTCAGTACAGAGGCCAAATAAATGAGACACTGTTTTCATGAAGAGCTGTTAATTTATGTTTGTATTTTTGTGCATGTGACTTGCTGCATTGTCTCATTTTCTGGGTTTGTTTATAAGGTGAGGATGGTAATACCAATCTTTAGATACTTGGGGACGGTAAATGAAAGGTATCTGTGCAAAGCCTTTCATAAACATTTTCAAGCTCTGTGCAGATGTAAGGGTAATGTTTTGAAGTCCCAGAAATCTGGAGAAGAGTGTTGATGCAAATAATGAAAAGGGGAATGAATGTAACTCCTTTCTCACTCCATGCCTTTACTTACAAAATACTGTAAATGTTGAAAATTATAATATTTGTGGTTTCTGAAATGTTCATATAATTCTAAATGAGAAGTCATTTATAACTGTACTTAGTTTTGTTCAATTTATGAAATCCTGGTATTTATGAAAGAGCAATATAATGAATGTTTTATTTAATTTCCCAGAGTCAAGCATAGTGCATGGGAACTTCTGGGGTTGCTATTTTTTTTTTTTTTTTTTTTTGCTGCTGGCCAAAGAGGCCAAAGAAAAGGTTTTCAGATATGGAACCAGTTTTGTTTTCCCTTTGCTGATGAAATGTGGAAGGCAGTGTATGCATACTCCTCTCATATTTATGTGGGCTGGATTTGAAGTGGAAATGTGATTCTAAAATGTGGAAATTTTAAATGGCATGGTAACCTGGTCTGCGGTCTCCAATCTCTGTGAAGTATTTTTCTTTTTTATTGTTACTGCCATTGATATGTTCAAAGGATCAAGGTTCTAAATAATGAAAATAAGAACTTCTGAAAACAGGACGTATACAAGATAATAAAACTCTTTGCAGGTTTATCTGTTACAGACAAATGCTTGAGCATGTTTTATTGTGTTTAACCATGATAGTCTAACCATGATAGATTTTCACTGAAAGGGATAGGTACTGTTGTTTGTATTGTCTCTCTTTCTGTTAGGGTGAAAACAAAAACTTTCTGTAGTTTGTATATCTGATAGATAAGAAGCTGGGGGATGGTGAAACTAAGGAGTCAAAGAAGAAATAGGAAAGGGGGAACAAAAATTACAAGAAGCTTGATATTTCCTGGAATATGATCTTAATGTGTTACTTTAGTTGGTGAGAGCAGTGCTCTTCAAACTCTAAAGAGCATGTGAATCCCCTAGGGATTATATAAAAATGCAGTTTCTGATTCAGCAAGTCTGGGGTGTGACCTGGGAATGTGTATTTCCATTAAGCTCCCAAATGATGATGATACTGGTGGCCTGAGAACCACTCTTAGAGTAACAAAGTTGGAGGTTTGACTGGAGATATTTGTGAAGGTGATATTTTAAAATTTTCAATAAGGATAATTTGTCATAATGGTAGCTAATTGTGTTTAATTTTACATCATCAATAAACTTTTATATAATGAAATTTAAAATCATTGACCAAAAATCACATACATATGTCTGGCATACCACCCTCAATTTTTCATCAACTATTTCCTTATTTTAGATCCCTTAGTAAATACTCAGTGAGGAAGTTAAATTTGTGTTTCTGCCAGGTAGTACCTTCACCAAAGCTGCCATCTGATTAATGTGTAAAATGTTAAAGTGTTGTTTATGTGGTCATAGGAAAGGCCCCAGAAAGGCAGACAGACCCCTAGGCTTCTAGTTCCAGCTCTCCCAGCTAGCTCTGGAGCCTGGAGCTATTTTTTTTTCTTTGTAAAATGATTGTGAATATTTGTTTAGTAGACTTGAGAAAGTATCTAGTCCATTGTTCATAATAGGCACTCAAAAAAGCTTAAGGAGACTCTTAAGAGTAGAACTAAGCAGCTTTAGGTCTTACAGGTCACACAGGACAGGGACTGAGGATAAAGCATTGTCCAATAACTTAAATGGAGGACTTCACTAAGCTGCCCTACTTCATCTTTAATGTGTGATTTTAGTTGCTCAAATCTTCCGTAGAAGGTCTGATCTTTTCTTTAACATCTTCCAATGCAATTTGCTACTTGCTGGGAGCACTTCCCTTTGTTTTTCTCCTGTCTGTCCTAACAGAGATAAGGAAATCAGGCAAAAGGCTGCAGCGTTGACCATTTCTCCCATTTCCCTTCCTTTGCAGATTATTCCTCTGCTGTTCAGAAATTTTCTCAGACATTGCAGTCCTTTCAGTTTGATTTCATTGGAGATACTCTGACTGATGACGAGATTAACATTGGTAAGTCTTCAGCTATTTGTGGCCATGTGACTCTCAAAGCAGGTCTGAGAAAAAACAGCCTCCTTGGTGAATATAGAGAACTTGGGCATCTTTTACCCCCCTTTGTCACCTGTTGTCCCAAGTTCCTGGGAGATTGCTCAAGAAATATAAAGTAACATTCCCTCCTAGTCCCATTTCCTCCTCATACAAAATCAATCAAAAGATATCCCTTTGGACTTCCCTGGTGGTACAGTGGATATGAATATGCCTGCCAATGCAGGGAATATGGGTTCAATCCCTGGTCCCAGAAGATTCCACAAGCCTTGGAGCAACAGGGCCATGTGCCACGACTACTGAGCCCATGTTCTAGAGCCTGTGAGCCACAACTACTGAGCCCATGTGCTGTACCTACTGAAGCCTGTGCTCCTAGAGCCTGTGCTCCACAACAAGAGAAACCCCCACAATGAGAAACCCATGTACCACAATGAAGAATAGCCCTTGCTCACCACAATGAGAGAAAGCACATACACAGAAAGACCTAGCACAACCAAAAATAAATAAATAAATAAATAAATAAATAAATAAATAAATAAATAAAATATATTAAAAAAATATCCTTTAAGCCTCCATTTAGATCTTTGACTCAGTCTGCAGGCAAATTTTTCTTTAAAAAGATCTAAAACATGAAAATGGGGTTTGCCAGATGGCACAGTGGTAAAGAACCCACTTGCCAAAGCAGGAGATGCAGGTTTGATCCCTGAATCAAGAATATCCCCTGAAGAAGGAAATGTTAAACCATTCCAGTATTCTTACCTGAAAAATTCCATGGACAGAGGAGCCTGGTGGGCTACAGTTCATAGGGTCCAAAACATTAGATATGACTGAGCAAAATACATGAAAATAGATATTTTTCGGTGAAGAATGAAAATTAATTTTTTGGTTTATTTTCCAAAATATTTCAGAATAAGGTTCTTCTAAGGAACAAATCCTCTAGAAAGTTTAATATTAGCATTTATGTATGTGTGCTTTTCAGGCAACAGGAGATTTGATATCTCCCTTGGGAACTGAATTTAACAACTTGCCTTAGTGTTCTCCTCTGTAAAATGTGGTTAATATGTATCTCTCAAAGATGTTATAATTAGGAAATTGAACAGTGGAAATAGAAAGAGCTTTGTGTTTGTGTCGGTTATGAAGTTAAGTAGTATCAGCAAAGTATAAGTCTTGCCTGGTAAAGAATCTGTAAAGAATCTGCCTGCAATGCAGGAGACTGCCATCATCGGAGATGCAGGTTCAATCCCTGGGTCAGGAAGATCCCTTGGAGAAGGAAATGGCAACCTACTCTAGTATTCTTACTAGAATACTGGAAAATCCCATGGACAGAAGAGCCTGGTGGGCTACAGTCCATGGGGGAAAATATGGCCCACAGATTTAACTGAAACACAGTTAAATATTGTCTATGGGTGGTTTTGTATTATAACAGCATTGAGTAGTAGTTGCAGAGACTACATGGTTTTCAAAGCCTCAAATGTTTGCTGTCTGGCCATTTAAAAAAAGTTTTGTAACAACTGAGTTAAAGAGTTACTGTAAAGCATTTGCTAGATGAGAGCACAGAACTATTATGAATGATCTAATGTCACTGAAATAATTATGTGTATGAACCCAAGAAATAAAATATAAAAATGTATTATTATTATATTAGATGCTTGTGCAGTAAGTATGAATAATATATGTGTATAAAATATGAAATTAAAGGTATTCCAACATAGAACTGTTTTGTGTGGATGTAATTTAGTTCATACTAAATACATACTTTTATCTAATTTTAACCTAGCATTTCATCAAGCATTTTCTCATATCATTTAAAAATCTTTGAATGCTTCATGGGACTGTGGGACAAGGACATTGTTTTGTTCATTTGTATTTCCCTAGCATGTAGAGGATTACCTAGCATATAGTAGATACTCAATACATGTTTGTTGAATGAATGAGTAATGGATACATTTGAGATTCATTATTACAGGAGCTATACTTTACATGCTGTTCAACTATTGTTAGAAATTTGGCTTATTTCTAATTTTTCATGATTATAAATAACACTGCAATGAATATTTTTATGAGGTTGATGACTAACGTTTTGGATAAATGTGGCAGTATAACTAGTGAGGCAGACATTTGTATTTGGATGATTTCTTTACTCATGCCACATCATTCTGCTTCTGCATATCTATATTGGTCTGAGGGCATGGCTTATTTAAAGGTTAATATTGTGAGGGTTAGATAGCCCAAGTTTGAACTCTAGTTTCTCAACGTATTAGCTATGTAATCTTGGCAAGTAACTTCACCTCTATGAGTGTAACATTTCTCATCTGTAAGATGGGAGTGAGATAATCAATGCCAAGTGTTCACAGTGTCTAAATAAATGTTAGCTATTTAATCATAGTTATTAATATAAGGTTTGATTACTTTATACTTTTTAATGAACTGAATGTTTTTGTATCTCCACAAATTCATATGTTGAAATGCTAACCTCCAATGTGACAGTAGTAGGAGGTGGGTTCTTTGGGAGTTAATTAGGTAATGAAGATGAAGCCGTCATGAGTGGTATTAGTATCCTTATCTCTGTGACAATCTAGGAGGGTGGGATGGGGAGGGAAATGGGAGGGGGGTTTTGGGAGGGAGGGGACATGGGTGTACAGATGGCTGATTCTTGTTGATGTATGACAGAAAACCACAAAATTCTGTAAAGCAATTATCCTTCAATTAATTTTTTTAAAAAAGAGCGAAAAGAAAACGGATTCCAGAGCACTTTCTCACCCAATTTCCATCATGTAAGGATAGAGTGAGAAGCTGGTAGTCTGCAGCCTGGAAGAGAATGCTCATGAGAACCTGACTTTGATCTCAGACTTCTAACCTCCAGAACTGTGTGAAATAAATAAGCCCACCCAGTCAATGGTATTTCCCTACAGCATCCTGAACTAAACAAACAAACAAACAGGAATTTATACTGAGATTTGGAGGGTGCTGCTATAATTAACACCTGAAAATGTGGAAGTGACTTTGGAACTGGATAATGGACAGAGGCTGGGAAAGTTTTGAGGTGCATGATATAGAAAGCCTAGATTGCTGTGAATAGAATTTTAAAGGTGATTCTGGAGAGAACTCTGAAAGAAGAGAGAGGGTAGAGAAAGCTTCAATATTCTTAGAGAATACCTAAGTAATCATGCATAGAATATTGGTAGAATATAGATAGTAGGGTCCATTTTGATGAAGTCTCAGACAAAAATGAGGAACATGTTATTGGACAATGGAGAAAAGGTGATCCTTGTTATCAAGAGGCAAATACTAGGCTAAATTGTTTGTTTTCTAGTGTTCTGTGAAAGGCAAAACTTGTAAGCAATGAAACTGAAAATTTGGCTTATGCAATTTCTAAGCAAGTGTTAAAAGAGAGGTTTGGTTTCCCCTGGCTACTTATACTAAAATGTGAGAGGAAAGAAATGAAGAGAAGGTAAAATTTTTAAGCAGAATGTAACCATAGCTTAAAGATTTGTCCATATTACAAAAATTGAGGAAGTTTATTTGGAATAAAGCACTACTGCACTTCCCAGGTTGTGCAGTGGTAAAGAATCTGCCTGTCAATGCAAGAGTCCTGGGTTTGATCCTTGAGTCAGGAAGATTCCATGGGGTATAAAATGGCATCTCATGCCAATATTCTTGCCTGGAAAATTAAATAGACAGAGTGGCCTGGAGGGTTACAGTTCATAGGGTCACAAAGAGTTAGACACTACTGAGCAATTAACTGAGCACACATAAACATGGTTCAGTGCAGTTCAGTTCAGTTCAGTCACTCAGTCGTGTCTGACTCTTTGGGACCCTATGGATTGCAGCATACCAGGCCTCCCTGTCCATCACCAACTCCCGGAGCTTACTCCAATTCATGTCCATCGAGTTGGTGATGCCATACAACCATCTCATCCTCTGTTGTCCCCTTCTCCTCCAGCCTTCAATATTTCCCAGCATCAGGGTCTTTTCCAATGAGTAAGTTCTTCACATCAGATGGCCAAAGTATTGGAGTTTCAGCTTCAGCATTAGTCCTTCCAATGAATATTCAGTACTGCTTTCCTTTAGGATGAACTGGTTGGATCTCCTTACAGTCCAAGTGACTCTCAAGAGTCTTCTCCAACACCACAGTTCTAAAGCATAAATTCTTTGGTGCTCAGCTTTCTTTATAGTCCAAATCTCACATCCATACATGACTACTGGAAAAACCATAGGTTTGACTAGATGGACCCTTGCTGGCAAAGTAATGTCTCAGCTTTTTAATATGCAGTCTAGGTTGGTCATAGCTTTTCTTCCAAGAAGCAATCGTCTTTTAATTTCATGGCTGCAATCACCATCTGCAGTGATTTTGGAGCGCAAGAAAATGAAGTCTGTCACTGTTTCCATTTTTCCCTATCTATTTGCCTTGAAATGATGGGACCGGATGCCATGATCTTACTTTTCTGAATGGTGAGTATCCAATACTTTGGACACCTGATGCGAAGAACTGACTCATTTGAAAAGACCCTGATACTGGGAAAGATTGAAGGCGGGAGGAGACGGGGATGACAGAGGATGAGATGTTTGGATGGCATCACCGAATCAATGGACATGAGTTTGAGTAAACTCTGGAAGTTGGTGATGGACAAGGAAGCCTAGTGTGCTGCAATCGATGGGATCACAAGGAGTTGGACACAACTGAGCGACTGAACTGAACTGAACTTTCAGTCTCCTGTATCATTTTCATCAAGAGGTCCTTTAGTTCTTCTTCACATTCTGTCATAAGATGGTGTCATCTGCATATCTGAGGTTATTGATATTTCTCCCAGGAATCTTGATTTCAGTTTGTGCTTCCTTCAGTCCAGCATGTCTCATGATGTACTCTGCATGTAAGTTAAGTAAGCTGGGTGACAATATACAGCCTTGATGTACTCCTTTCCCAATTTGGAAGCAGTCTGTTGTTCCATGTCCGTTGCTAACTGTTG